TTGGCATTATACAAATAAAATTTAATTGAATTGAACTGAATTAAACTACTTATAAAGCTTGTTCAAACCCACAAAACTGTATTTTAGTTTTAATGACTCTAGTTATGTGATTGTTCAATTTTAATTAAAAATATGTCTAAAGTTTTGTCATTTTGACTCATCATAAGTGGGTTTTTTTTAATATCCCTAACTTTTCACAAGTTTTTTCTTCTCCTGGCATAAATGGGCTTCCATGTTTAAGAGGTTAAATATTTTAGTAGGTCATTGAGCAGCTTTAAGTCAGGGTGACCTTGCTGGTCTATTCATAGGCTGGGAAACTATGCTATATAGATAATAATGGCTAGAAAAGAGACCATGAAAGACTAAATCTATTACGTGGCTGCTGATGGTGACATGATGATATGAGACAGTCACACAGTTTGGACCAAACTAAAAACCAAATTATTGCCAAGTCTTTCAAAGTAAGAGAAAGGTAATGCCTATTTGCCTTTTTAAGTTGATTTTGTTTGTTTTGTAAATACATTTTTTACATTATAAACCTGTTAAGATGCACACAAAAAATGAGTCAGCGGTTTGTGCTCGGAGTTTTCCCTTCTTCTTTTGTTGATGCCACATTCACCTCTCATAAACTTTCCATGTGTAACTACCTTTCCTGAGCTGCAGCCAGAGAGAAAAGTAGGAGCTGGAACTGGAATAGTCAAAGTCATGAAGGAATTATGGCTTCAGATTCCTGCAGTAAGTTCTTCTTTAAAGATGTCCAAAGCCCTATAGCAGCTATAGCTATGCCTTACTATTAAGGCTTTTTTGGTCTCAAGCTCCCAACATGCCCATTTATGGTTGCACCGATCCATTTAGACCCATAAAACTGTCAAGAAAACATATAATGGTACTTTAGTGTCTTTTTGTTAGGTTGATTGCCTTTCTGTTTTGCAATAATTAAACACTTTTGTCTGTCTTTCTTGTGGCCACACTCCTTTTAGTGGTGAAAGTACACATAGCAGAAAATATTAACTGTGAAGTTTTACAGCAGTGAGTAATATCTCAAACAGTTGCTGATTTAGGATTGTTGACGCGTCCTGGTCCTGAGTCCCCCCAGGTGGCACTGTTCTTCAAGACAAACCTGCTCTGCTTAAAGAGGATTTAACAAACTATTTCTCATACAAACCTTTCAAACAGCTTTAACAGTCCCAGCTGAGTCACATCATCCTTTCATGGGGTCAGACTAGCTTTTGTCTCAGCACTTTACCTTTACACCAGCCACAGACTCAACAACTCCTGAGATAAAATGAATCCAAAACATTGTCTTAAGCTGATTTGTGAACTCACCGATCAGTAAAGTCTCCGCTAACAGCCACTTGTAGTCATTTTCTCTGCTAATAAGTTATTTATCATTAAACTGTTATGCGTAAATCTGGCACTGCAGAAAAATTCATAAATAATTGCTGACATTTGGCAACACAGGATCCTAAATCATGCCGCCATTACACTGAAAATGTTTATGAAATCCAGTAATGGAGCATAGAAACGTGTTGTTACTGCAGGATGGATTAAATTTCTGCAGGTGCAATCCGAAAATAAAAACACTTTCAGGAAAAATAAATAATTGCCTCTCTTGAAATGATGGAAATATATTTATATAGTTACCAAAGAAAATACGGCCTCTTGCATAATATCTTATTAAACTACTTTGTTTTCCGTAAAGTTTAAGCCTTTTTCCTTCAGCCCTTCTATCCTTGATTCATTGTGCATGAGCGTTAATTTTATATTTTGCAAGAAAAACACATAAGACACACCAAACCCAAACACTTTCTTGTATAATTTATATTGAAAACATGTTAAAAACATTAGTTTCCCTTTATAAAACCGTAACAGTTGCCTGTGGTCATAATTACAACAGTGTCCTGATAATCAAATTCCCCTGTCAATATTGCATGTAACTGGAGCGATGCATCTTAATACTAAGTGCATAATGGATTTAAAATTATGCTGAATATCAAACGAGGGATGAGCTGCTCTGAGCTCAGTTTGGCTGGTTGTCCATCTGTGAGCCTGACTGGTATGACTGGATGTCCTCCCCGATGAACTCCGTCACTGTGGAGGGAGAAGATCACAATCACAATCCTGTTCATCACACCATCCTTTCATCCACCCCATAGACTCAGATTAATTGGTGCAGTTTGTAATCAAACTGTATGTATTAACCTCAATAAGTGCTTTGATTTGTATATTTGATTTGGAAAGCAGCAGGGATTGTAGCAAATCAAATCTTTTAGCTACGAAAAGTCGAAGTATAATGAATGAATAATGAAGAATAGTGCAGATATCTAAGGAAAAAGTCTAAGAATATATAATAATATCACAAAAAAAATGCAATTATACTTATTTTTTAACACTTTGTAGCTGAAAAGTTTTGCAAAGTCGGTTGGCTCATATCGTAATTCTCCATCGCTGAGCAGTTCAAAATCAGACCTATCACCAATATGTCCTTATCAGTGTGCATATGAAGAAAAGGCAGTAAAGACATAACACAGAAATGTTTAAGATATGTTAGAGGTAGCTTAGAACAAGTGACATAAACACATCATATGTTAATGTGAGAAAATTAATATAGGCTGGTGTATCGGTTCTAGATTCCTTTAAACTCTCAAATATCCATAGGAAATAGCTCGATACCACTTTTTCATGTTGCAAATCTTCAGTATTTACCAGTACTGATACCGATCCGATACCGTCCTTTTTTAATCACATAAACAACTAAGCTGTTAGAAATAATAATAATATTAATATAGTACAGTGGTATAGATGCACTTTGCTTATAGCCATCTAAAAGACATCATGCGCAATCTCTGAAACACATATTTTAACCCCATTAAGGAAGAAATACAAACTCTTTATGTAATAGTTTAGGCTTGTGGATTGTAATAGATTATAATTTTTTTTCTCTGATATCCGATCCAGTGATTTTTCCCAGTTTTAGACCAATGCCAAGTATCGGATCATAACAATATCAGTATTGCACACAAAAATCCACTATTAGCCCCTCTATTCTCTACAGTAGGGAAGAACAAATCATAGTTATCATCACTTAAAGAATCATTCGAATCAAAGTTAAGATAGCCAAGAAGTTACTGAGACTATGCATCACAGCGCCTTCCCTCATATTATCTGATCCTAGTTTTTATTCTGTTTAAGGGTTTTGCAATTTATTTAGTTTTTATATGGTTCTTTTAGTATTTTGATTCTTTTATTGCTATGTTTTTATGTATGTCTTTGCTTTTATGTGAAGCATTTTGATTTTGATAAGTGCTATATAAACAAAGATATATTTATTATTAAAAACATTAAGAGGAGTATGTTTGGCGGCACATCTGCCTTGATTGACTATTTGTTTTTTTATTACTTGCACATGCTAGCAGCAATTCAGCTCCACCCTGACTCCACCCCTTTATCAAAATGTGTATTTTCTGTTTTATCAAACTTCAACCACAATGACAGAGCATCTAACGTTTCATTTGTGAAGTTTAGTTGAACTGTAACTGACCAAGCAGGTAATGTGAAGCTAAAAATATATTTTCTCGTGAAGTTCGACGACACTGGTAATGAGAACCAAACCTATTAACAGTTCTCGAGTATGGAGAGCATGTCCAACCACGGTATAATACCAATGAATGGGAATAATAATTCAATATCAACAAAAAACTAAATTCTAGTATTCTAGTTTTAACACTTACACTGAAATCTGGCAGCTGCTGTATTCAACTAATCAACAGTTATGCACTTTACATCTCTGTAATGTAGTTAATTAGTTAATCTACTCAACAGATTATAACACATTGGTACTGATTAAGATACAGACTAATATAGCTCACTACTCACCTTCTTCAAATGTAATGTGGTGCATAGAGGCAGAGCTGGTAAACTCCAGGGGGCAGTCCTGGATCTTGGCATCCCTCTCTCCCCCATGTCCCGTCCCCAGCACCCTTCCCTGGGGGTCCCAGCCATCGTAGTGGGAGTAAGGTGTAGGGCAGATGTCCTGATAAGGGCTGGTGTTGGAGGGAGGGGAGGGACACACCTCCTGAGGATAAGCAGAGTACTGGGGGTAAGGGGAGGTGGGGATGGGAGGCAGAGGGGAGGTCGAGATGGGACTACCAGCAGGAAACGGGCTGAGAGAGGAGGAGTGGGAGGGAGAGGGCGAGGAGGACAGGTAGGGTGAGTCCAGCCACGGGGAAGGGGAGGGGGAGGGAGGCTGCGGGCCGCGGGGGTACAGGGGTGGGAGGAGCTCGGTGAAGCCCAGCTCCAGGTTCTCGAAGCTGGGGTGACGCTCGGACAGCGCTGCCCTGGACCCACCGGGCTCCTCCACGGCAGCGTCGGGTTTAGAGCAGTACTCCTCATGGTAACCCATAGTGGGGCAGGGAGGGGAGTAGGTGGAGGGGTAGGGGGGCAGGTGGAAGCCCAGGCCTCGATCTTCAGCCATGGGTTCGCCTCTCACGTGGAAACCCCTGTCCATCCTGGGTTGACCCCCCACAGGACACACAGTCCCCCCGTCCAGAGGCAGCACAGAGGGCCGGGACAGCAGCGGGTCCTCCTCTTTGAACATAACTGTGAGGAGGAAACAGTATAAATAATATGTGGACATAATATTTGTATTTGTAAACCTCCTAATCAAAATAAAAAGGATGAGAAATATTTATTTATACTCTTCATAATCATTAAATTGAAAAAGATACACACCTCGAGACTTAATTATTTGAAAAATGGTTAGTATGTAGTATGTTAGTATGTTAGTAATGGTTAGATTAATATCAGGTGAGAATGGATACTCACTGGGCAGATACTTGAAGCAGTGAGTGCTGCTCCTTTTCCTCTTCCCGTTGGAGACGTAGAGACTAACCGACACCGGCCGACTGACAGACACGTCGCTGTAGGCGGGGACCCTCACACACAACAAACACTATAATTAAGAAAGAGGTGTGGAACATAGAATATTACAGGTTAGAGGAGATTCATCAGACGCTTTAGTTGTATCTGCTGAATTAAATCTAAACTTGATCAGAGAGGAAAAGTTCATGTTGTTGCAGAGACTGTTCAGAATCTCTTTTTGGACTGATATCACAGGTACAAAATTACCTCATTGCTGTTGTCCCGGTCAACGTGAGCCTCCTCCTCCCACTGTAATTTACCATCTAACAGATAAGAATACAAAGTAAGTGTAACTTAGATACACACATAGACACACAGTCAGTTTAATGAATATACTTTGCTCTCACTGCATAAAGGTTAACATTAAAGTTTGGTGGCGGAAGAAGTACTTCAGTAAAAGTAGTAATACAAGTAAAAGTACATGTGTTAGCATCTATATGGTACTTTCAGTACTAAAAGTAAAATTACTCATTATACATTATTGTGAAATCGCTTGTGCAGCTGGTAAACATATTGCTGGGTAGCTTAACCCAGTGGCTTTCAAACTGGGGTGCGGGGACCAACAGGGGTCCTTGAGTGGGTTGTAGTCCACAGCAAAGTAGAATATTTTAACTTTGATTAGATTTTTTTGAAGTTTGGATTGATGATGATGATTGATCTGTAGTCTAATGTGCATCTACTGTATCTATCACATAAAAACGTTTTGGAACCCCAAATTTAACCTACAATAATATATCACAATTTATCATTTTATTATATTTTGTATCAATAATTTGCACCAAATTAACCAGTAAAGCTATCAAATAAATCAATATCCATAAAAAATACAACATTTGCCTCAAAATTGAAGTGGAGTCAAAGTAGAAAGTAACATAAAACAAAAAATACTAAAGTACAAGGATGAAATCTTACTAAAGTATAGTACTAATGTGCTTAATCGTAAAAAATCGTAACTTCAACTGAGAACACAGAAGATTTTTGGGAAGAAAACAAACTGGATGCAGGCATGTGTTTTTTTTTATATGAGCTGTTTTCAACCATAAAGTTAAGGATGTAAGAGTTGATTATTTCTCCACCATGACTGCTATTTGCCAGAATAAATAATGATCGTTTTGTGAACCCTCCTGTTCCTGAACTCTCAAATCCTGACTGAAGATTTATGGAACCAAATCTACTAAAATCTGATCTAAAATCATTCTGCTGTGCATCCTGAAAACCCCAGACCTGTTTCACAACACAGTGTTTTAAACATGTTTTCCATATGCAGGTATTGTGTTGCCCACTTCATAATGTACTTTTTTTTGTCACTGTAGGACTTATTAGCCTACTTTAAAGTGCTTATTTACAAAATCTCACTCCCACTCACAAGCAGGTTAAAAATAGTTACTGTTATCCTTCCTGTTTTTTCACTAAATGACTGAGGCAAATCCCTGGTTCTCTTCAGGTTTTAAAGTGGAGTGTGCTGTACGAGCTGCTGTTAAAATAGTCTTTATGTAAAGATGGAGACACACAGCACTAACTGTATTCAGCTGTATCGATTTACACTGAGCTATCTAATAAAAGAAAAACAGAAAACCTGCTCTAACATTTAATTAGTGGTACTATTCAAAACTGAATGCAGTGGGCTGAAATATTATAACTCTAACTATTACTGAAATTAATTAATGTATTTTCAGACTCATTTCTAGCTACATTTGAGATATTAGAGACAAAACTTCAGAAAACAACACTTGAAAGGACCAAGGTCCCTTTACCTGTCCCTCTCTCCATGAAAAGGACTCTGGAGATTGGCAGGAAGTTAGAGCCGCTCAGCAGAAGCTCCTCCCCTCCCTCCACAGAGCAGGAAGTAAGACTGACAGACTCGATGACGGGCAGCTCCTGAGCCGACCGCTGGGCTGCGGCAGGGAGAGTCAGGCAAATTAAACACGACCTTCACTACCACTAATTGTACTCTAATTTAAAGCCGACATGCGTAGCTTTAAAACCATTTTGGACTATCCCACACATACTGGCTTTAACAACCTCTTTGCAGCTTAGTCTCCATGAAACTGTGTCTGCAGCTACTCACAGCATTCGATGGGCAGGGAGGCGGCCTGCAGAGCCAGGACTCTTCCAGGCGGGGCGACGGGAGGCGCGAGAGGGAGGTGGGTCCGAAACACCAAACGGACACGAGTGTTTTTTCGTCCGACATCTGTTTCTCCTTTCCTCAGCTCAATGTCCGAGTTCCTCAGCTTTAGAATCCCAGCACAGTCGATGCTACGACACAAAGATTTTAGTTTTTTTACTTTAGAATTTATGCAAGTAGGTTGATGATTAACCTGTTTCTGTTTCACAATCATACAGTTACAGTCCTACGCTCCACTGGTGGTGGCAGGGGTTCAGTGCCTTGCTCATTTGGCTTAGCAGTTGTTGTTTAGTGTCACATTCTTCAACACTGGTCGAGTAAAAGAAATCTAAATGATCAGGGTGTCTGTGGGGTCTAAAATACAATAATCTAATCTTTTTTTTGCCAGTATGGACGTGAACTAAGTCTTCATAATGGTCTTAAAATGTCTTAGACTTGCAGAAACCCTGACAAATAAGAACTCTTTTAGAGGAAAAGGTTGCTGTCTCTTTACTACTCACAGTGCAGTCATGTTGTTCTCAGGGTTGAGGGGGATGTCCAGCAGTTTGGTCCCCGCCTGGACGCTCTCATGACTGGCAGTACCCACCATCTTCCCTGTTACTCTGAGAGGAGATAAACAGCTGAGTTTAACAGCAATTTAAACGTTTTTTTTATGCTGAATCAAAGACTGCTGCTCTGTCCAAAATTCACATGAAGCACCCTTCTGTCCTGAACAGGATAAACTGGTAAAGACACTCAAATCTGAGGATTTTCCCTGTTTTATATGATTGTAAATTTGACCTACTTTGGATTTTGGACTGTTGGTCAGACAAAACAAGCACTGTCGCCTTGTGAGGGTCTGAAACTTGTGAGGGCATTTTCCAGACACAGTCTAGAATAAGCAATTATTAATCGGCTTCGGTCGGATTCCCTCTCGAAATTGATGACACAATGGTGGTAGAAACACTACTGGTTTTGACCACATGGGCCGCCGGAATCAACACAGAATGAAAGTTGTGGCTGGTTTAAAGCTGATGTTCTCATTCAGAGCACATTAGTACACTGAAAACAACTGGTGCAAGAAATTTCCTGGACCAACACTAGAAGCAGCTGCTGGCGAGTTATGCAATGGTTAAAGCCACAGTGGTCGGATGATGAGTATGTTGTGTGGCCTTGAATATTAATGCAAGATAGAAGGATGCTTGGTAGTAGGTTTTTTTAAATACAGTTCAGTACCTGTGTATCTGATAGAAAGGATGTGGCCTGATCGATCTGTCGTCAGCTGTTCCAACGAAAACCTGAAGGGAGAGCGGCTTCCTCTCTGTGTATCCACACAGCTGTACAGAGAGACACAGTGTGAGGGATGAAATCAAACTGTGATGAGGCCAATGGCGGTGAGCCGCAACACGTGCTCTAACACTTTGTTCCAGTATTATGAAAACAGAATTTCTTCTTTAGCTTCAACAGAAATTACACTGAATATAAGGACAGTCGGAGCTGTTAAAATAATCTCATCCAGATTATGAATACACAGGTTTGAGCCGCAGTTCTGCAGCTGCCTAAATCTGCAAGTTTGGGTTTCACCTTGACTATAGGATGTCCCGTTGGTGCAGCCTTGACAGCTCCTCTGCTCCCCTCGGTCTCATAGTGGGCTCTGTGGTGGGGACGGGGCTGCACCTCAATACGCAGCTCGTACTGATCAAACTGGGACGGCAGTGGCCAGTCAAGTGGCGGCAAGGCGTTAGACCTACATGTGTGATTGGATCAGAAAAACATTAGACAGTTTTAGTCGCAGTGAACTTGGAAGGAGTACAACAGATGCAGATGAATAAGATATTTTACAGCCCAAATAGGGATTTACATTTAATTTACAAATGCAAACATGACTGGTGCAAAACAGTTAAAACGTATCTGCTGAGTTTTTCATTGAACAATAACCCCAAGTAAGAGCAAGTAGTAAGTAGATCAATAAACTCCAGTTTATACTTGTGATGGTATGGCTTATGTTTTCTGCAAGAACAGACACAACCATAGTGACACATTGCAAGTTGTACATAGTTTATGTTCTTTAACCTTGACTGACATTCTTGGTCTGGATGAAAACATCAAAACACTGAACACAGTCAGTTCTGGGAAGTCAACCAGCAACCATGGCTATCTTAATTAAAGTTCTACATATTCACAGTACGGTAAAAAGAAAAAAGAAAAAATTAAATCATACTGCTGCTATTATTTTGATAGATATTGCGATTGCGATATGATTCACAATTAGTGGGAATGATCATTTCTGAATCACACATTTAATATTCACTGAAAAAACTTTTGTTTGTTGGGTGTCTGTGTGCCAAACAAACGTGTTCTTACACCTGGAGAACAAGATTTGTAGGCCAGGGCATCTCTGCAGCACTACAGCTTCTGTGATTTGGATATTGCACTTGGCCATATTGCAATTTTGATAATATTAGCCCTAATATACACTTGGGGATGTAGCGAGCACTTGCAGGTCTTGTAATCACCACCGCTGGTCGGTCTTAAGCAAAAAATGACAGTAAGAGAAAAATGTCTATTGCTGTTACTTTTAATTCTGCCAAGCAGGGTTATTTAAAATGTAATGGTGCAGCACAGCTTATGTGACATCTTTTAACTCATAGTAGAATCTCAACTTCCCTTAAAGGCCTTCATTGTCAGGATGGTTGGCAAATGGTCAACGGTGCATATTTATCAAACTGAACTCGATCAACTCGATTAACTGATCCCTGCAGTTCCAGTGAAATAAATTAATTTGGGTGCGAAATGTATCTCTTATAAATGCTAGTGTGACCGAGCTCTTGGTTTCATGTCAGCTGCTCTTACAAAAGAAGATTCACTGTCTCAGCTCAAAACTGAAACTTTTGCTTTCAGGAAAATAGTAACCGTTTCTACAATGGAGGTAAACAGAATTTAGTTTGTGGTCAAAATTAGTCAGTATAAACATTTTTTTTTAGGGGAGTAATGGAGAGTTTCTGGAAAGACACATGGGTATTGATTTTTTTTTGTTTGTTTATGTGGTGCTGTGTATCCCTGCCTGAACAGAGGGCTGTGGGCGCTGGCTCGGGTCCGGCCCCAGGCTAGAGCAGGGGGTACAGAGAGGTAGTCCATGCCCAACGAGGGAGGCTCTCTCCTGATCTGCTGGGACTCTTGCAGCAGGCAGGGGGAGCTGTGGCCTGGAGCCTGCTCCTGGTCCACCTCCCTGGGAGACAACTAGAAAAGCAAGGTTCACCACTTTAGTGCGATGCTAATTCTATAACAATTCAATCATCTTTCATACGGAGCTAATGTGTTTACCTGTTCCAAAGACGTCTTCCTGGTTTTCTGTGGGATGCTGAGCTCACAGCTGCTGGGCGAAGCTTGAGACAGAGTGATGGAGTCTCCGCCATCGAGGTTGCATCCCTGCAGGTCCTCTGAGTAACTGCCCCTCCGCGAAGTACAGGGGGAGGCCAGGGGGGAGTTTCTACGCTTTTTACCCCCGGGGGAAGTTGGCCTCGAGGACGGCGAGAGCCCAAAGTTGATCGTGGCCTCGTTCAGCTCCTCCTCCTCCACCAGCAGGGAGTCACAGCTGGAGGCGGGGCTCAGCCAGCCACGGGAGGAGGGGCTGGAGGCGGGGCTGGGGCTGAGGGAGCCAGGGCACCTGTCGCGGTAGGTAAAGGGGTCCAGCAGGGGGAGGTAGAGGCGCTCTCGGTCCCACCCACCACCACCGCCCATGTCCCAGTAACTGGAAATGGTAGGTGTTGGGTCGTCTTCAGGGGAAATGGTGGTTATCTGGATGCTGGGACACTCGACCACACGAGACTCTGAAACCTGGAGGGAAGACAGCGAGGAAGAGATACCTTTAATTTTCATAGTGTTGACTGTCAGTCGATAGAAAATGGGACAATTATAAATCAATTAATTTCCCATTGTCATTTATCAAGAAAAATTACAAATATTTCCTTTAAGTATTTAAAGCCATTTGTTTCACTCGAAATATTTATTATAAGCAGAATCTACCACAGTGAGCATTTAACTGCCTTTATCTATTGTCAAAGCAACAGTTATTATCTCAAAGTAACACAGTTGTGGAAAGGAACTGTTTTAAAACTCTTTTTGAATTTATAAATCACTTCTGCTTGAATAAGAACAAAAAAATCAAAAAGAAACCTACTAAATTTACCTTATTAACACACAGGTTTGCTTACCTTCTTTTTTCCACATTTTTGTTTCTGCATCTTAGCAACGTACTCTCAAATCTTGGATGGTAACTCCAATAATGTAAAACTGTATATGGTATCTTGTCAAGACTTTGGAAGTTGCAATGAATATGTGTTAACTAAAACCAACTGCTGCATTAAAGGTAAGAAATCTACCTAAAAGCCTTTAATATAATTTTCAAAAAGGTCAGTACTAATAAACCAAAACTAGTCAGAGCAAGGCAAAGTTGTTTTTAGAGTAAAATTATTTTGTGGCATCCAGCAGTGTAGTCGCAGATTACAACTCCCCTGTTTCACCCTCTCCTTCCAAAGAAACTACGGTAACTGCGAATCAGGCAAAAAATGCGAAAGCCCTTTTCTAGAGCCAGTGTTTGGTTTGTCTGTTCTGGGCTACTGTAGAAACATGACAGATGATAAACAAGCATGACTTATAAACAGGTTGACTCACCTGTACAGAGCGTGCCGGCAGGCTCTCATAGGTCCCACTGAACTCTCTGACTGGGGCTCTCCGTGGGGGCGGGGAATGCATCCCAGCTCGCTGATTGGCCGAGGGTGGCGGGCTGGGGATGTTGATTGAGTGTCCTGCATGAGTGGCAGCCATGTGGTTATCTGTAACTGATGAGAGGAATTATGAGACAGATTTGAGAGCATCCCACGGTGTCTCGTTGACAAAAATGTATCTTCCTTCGCTAAAAAACGCTGCAAATGAAGCGTTTACAGCGTGTTCACTTTTCTAATATACACCTTCACTTCCACATGGCAACAATTTATTTTCTGGCTCCTTTCTAATGCAAAAAATATAACTTTTCTTTTTTCTTTTGTCCAAACACATTTTCTTTTTATATCACATGTTGTGTGTTTTGGGGTCATGTGAGTTCTCATTAATCTTTTCTCGCAACCGCAAACCAACAGCTAGCTCTCTGTTTTTTTACATATGGCATGAGAAAGACTCATTAGATGTCAATCAAACTACTGTAAACACAATTTGTGGTAGAGATTCATTTTTTCATCATCAACATGCCAAAATCATTCATTACACATCAGTTTTCCTTCATTTGCTGATCTGTAATTGTTGCCATATGGAAAACGCATGCAGGCTGGAGCTTTTCCTCCAGAAGTACGCAGTCTATGTCAATTTTAATATAAAGAAGCAGTTAAGACATTTTTGGAAATACATTTTCTTTTGTTCACTTTCTTGCTGAGATAAGAAGATTGATATCACTCTCACATATGTGCGAGAAGCCGGAGCCAAGACACAGTTCGCTTAGCTTAGTATGAGGACTGGAAACAGGAAACTCCACCTACCAGCACCCCTAAAAGCGATCTACTTAACACAGTATGTGGGTTAGGGTTATTTCTTGCTTGTTTAATCAGTACGAAACCCAAAGCGTAGAAATAACACATCATGGTTTTAGAGGTGCATATGTACCATGCTAGCTGTTTCCCCTGTTTCTAGTCTTAAGTCTCGTGCTAAGCTAAGCTAACTGGCTGCTGACTCTTAGCAAGAAAAAGAGTAAATATTTCCCAAATTGTGGAACTATTCCTTGATATTAAACACATTTATATTGAATGATATGAATACTAGCTTTGTTTATATTTTTATACTTTCATGTTTGTCTCTACACTGCAATTTATTTCACCTGAAATTGATGAATACATTTTTAAAGACAGCATGTTGATGAAATATTCTACAATGGTTAATTACAAATTACTAAAATCTGCAAATAAATATTAAACGTGGCTGTTCCTCAGATACATACAAATATTAGCATTTGTAGATTTTAAAACTTGATAAAGTAGGATTTGGTTTCATATGGCAACGATTTACTAAACCATTTTAAACTCGACTTTGAGTGTGAAGAACAACTTCAATCCATTTTTTCCACGTATTACAGAAACAAATAGTGCAGTAAAGGGTGAAGTGGGAATTGTAACCAAAACACGGGAGTTTACTTTTGGCTCACTGATCCAAATCTTATACTGCTTACAACGACAAACTCAACTCTGCTGCTGGTCTGCACAGTTATGAAGATGATTTGGAATTTTTCTACATCTCCCTTTTTTTGAGAAATTCAGAAAACACTCTCCAAACATTTTGGGCTCCTACAAACAATCATCAGAATGAAAGCACGACTCTTCACGGCCACAGTCCTCGCCACAAAATTTCCCCAGCGTGGTGCGGTCGGCCTCCACATGGAGCCAAACAGTAGTTACTCTGTAATGAGCGAGGCTCCAACTGATCACTGTTGCGCTGCAGTGGCGGTGGGCCATACAGGCAATTTTTGGGCAACGAGGACACACAAACGCAACTGCCAACAAATTAAGACTCGGGGTGAAAAATCTCTTCAAATGTTTCCTGGCAACAGAAATATTTCCAAGTGATTAAAGCTGCAGTGCTGAGGCAACTCCTCTGCTGGTGGATTCTTCACATGAAACAGTCATTTAGATGTGTACAGACCAGCAGAGGAGTTTATGAGCCACAAAAACATACTCAACACTTATTAAACACAATAAAGCTCATTTTAAGTGTGCAGGATATAATATCCTGTAATATCTTATTCTGTGTCCTGACTTGAACCTCTCACAGCAAGTTATGTTCACAGAGAACCCACATGGGGTCGCAAAGTGATTAACAGGAAAGCAAAGCATAAAATACAGATTTTTACTACGCTGAACACAAAGTTTTTCCGACTTCCCTCCAGCTGTTGCTTTTTTTCCCTTTTTACCTCTTAAAGGTCCAGTGTACAATATACGCTCACGTCTGTATTTGACGACCTGGGAGTGAGAATGAGCTGGGAAGTAAGTAGGAGAAACTATGGTGGCCGCGATAATCGTGAAAAACGCATAATGTCCTATCTACAGCCAGTGTTTGGTTCGTATAAACGTGGAGTTTCAACAGGGCTAACTCCATGGAAGGCGACCTGCGGCGTCTGTAGATAAAAACTGCTCGTTCTAAGGTATCAAAAACACATCAATTCTTATTTTCAGGTGATTATACACCAATGAAAAACATACCAATGGATATTAAAATACTTTCCTGCCAATAGATCCTCGTAAATGTTACACACTGGACCTTCAAGGCCACTTATAACTGTTTAGTAAACCATTATTTATTTATGTTCAGACCAGCAGAAGAGTTTACAACCAGAGGTTACTGGACAGTTATTGTACATAGTTTGTCCTAGATTCTTTTAGGAAGCCTCATTTAAACTTTAACAGCTCTAAAATAATATAATACATGTGCAGACCAGTAGTGGTTGCACCAGATATACGTAAATCCTTTGCTTATTTTGTGTGTAAAGTTCTTTGTAGCTATTAGCAAGTTTCAAACTGGTGATTTTATTCAATTGGGTTGCACCAGTAAAACTTCAGGATCCTCTCCAGAAATGTATTACGATATATATAAATAGTCTTTTTGGAACAATAGTGTGCTACTGTAGAAACATGGTGGTTCAACATGGCGACCTCAGTAGTAGGGGACCCGCTCCCTCTGTAGATAAAAACGGCTCATTCTAAGGTAACAAATAATTCCTATTCAGGTGATTATACACTAATGAAAATACCTACCATTGCTCTAATGGTAGGTATACTACTTGCATGCTACTACACGTTACACACTAGACATTTTAAACTATTTATAAAACAATTATTTCGATGATTTTGTCAGTTTGTCAATTTCTTTTGGGGAGTTTTATCTAAAAAGTCTAAAAGTTCAAAATTAATCTATTATCCTGTGTCCACCTGAGTTAAACCTCTGAAGAGTGTCATTTGGTGAACATCAGACTTTTCTCCAATAGTTGGTTTGTACTTATGAGCTAGTGAATATTTTTACTACTAAGGCCGATACCGACTTTAAATATAAGCCGATCAGGTGTTGGACATGACTCACACTGAATACAGTTTTGTCATCACTCTCATTATATAATTCAATGTTTCCGCGCTACCAACTAAGTTTTTAGCACCACAACAATCGTCGGGCTCATGTTACCTTACATAAAAATTATTCCAATATGTTCCAGATACAACCCTACAGATCTTAGATTTGGGGGAAATAGAGTACTGATACTGGATGGTGCTCTGTATCCACAGATGACCTGGTCTGAGGCATCAGAAAAGGAAAACGTTGGATCTGTGCAGCCCTACATTTTACCTCTTCAAATACATAAAAAAGTTTGGTTGAACTGGTCACAACTGGTAGACACATCAAGTCGATTGATTTGCTTTAAGGGGTCACAAGCCAAAAAAGTTGTGTCCCACAGAAATGTGAACACCAGGAGAGCTAATAAAACACTTGTGTGAAGCTCTACACTCTAAAAAGTGAAAACGCATCACCTAGAGAGAAGAATTGCTCTCTTGTTTCTCCTGCAGTTTACTTTCATGCCTTGGGTGTGGTAATACAACTGTATGCCAGTGTGGGCGGGAAACAAATGAGAGAGTGGATGTGAGGATATGAGGTGTGTGTTTGTGTTTGTGTGTGTGGAGTGAAAAATGGGGGAGATGGAGGCTAAGAGAGGGAGGGAGGGAGGGAGGGAGGTGTGTATGTGGTGCGTGTTCAGTACACAGAGGTTGAGGTTCCTTCCCAGATGGCAGCTGTTAACTCTACTCACACGCACAGCTGATTAGAAACACATTGAGTCTGGGGCTGCACGCACACATTGTGCACAAACACGCAAACGCGCTCACAAACAGGAACAACACTAAAATATGCACAAATGTGCAACACAACACACAAAACAAACACACAATAACAATATACTCATGCTCACATGCTTACAGATGGAGGCACGCACACACATCACATGCAAGATCAAAGACACACAAACACACACACACATACACACTTCTCATAAGCACAGGCATGCAGATGAAGGCCCCTCGTTATGGCACATGCAACTGCAGCTACACACGTGCGCGCACGCACGCGCACGCGCCCAGAAGTTCCCATGCATTGGAAGCTCAGACCTCCTCTATCTAATGTGTCACTTTACTTTCAACACTTTTCAACTATCCAATAAATGGCTCTAACCCAGGCCGCTGCTGTTGTTGGAGGGATCCAGGTGCAGCAGGGCGCCCTCACTCTCCTCCCCGGGAACGGAGCTCTCCGGCTCGGCTGTGCGCACCGGGGATGGCCCCTGGCTCTGCCGCGGCGGCGGGTCCTCCTCAAACACCAACTTGAACTCGAACTCGCCCTCCTCCCAGCCCGAGCCCGGCGCGGCCCCCATCGACCCTGCGGCAGCAAGGACAGGATACAGATAGAGTGATCTTATCTCCCTTGCGTCGGATACAGCGACTTTAACGTCCTTGGTGCGCCTCGAAAGTTTCCCGGAGATATTCCCAAAAACTTTTGTCTATCCACTATGTGCGTGTCATTGCGCGAATATCCCAACTCCTGGAAGATTTTGGTGTAACTTCTGCAACTTTTCCACGCTGTTTCCACACGATGGGGACCGCTTCTCGCTCGGATATTTGCAACTTTTTCTGCCTCAGTGCCTTGTGGTCCAAATCAGATCTTCGCCCGGGATGTCTCGCAGTCTTTTTCCGAAGCATACCTCCCAGATACGGTCGCTTTCTTTCATTCCAGCTCCATCGCTTCTTCTTCCCCGGTCAAGAAGGAGAGAAGGAAAAAAACGTTTATCAAATATTTTTGTCGTCCTTTACCCTTAATTGCCTTTGGGTGGGTTTCCCAGCTCCAGTTGGTCCGTTACTTATTCCCCATAGGACCTTATGCCTGTCAGTCATGAATCCCCCCTGCCCAACTTCCAGCCTCCCTCTTCTCTCCCCCCCTCTCCTCACTCACTCTGGAGGTTTCTCTTCCAGTCACTTCACATTGACTTTAATACACCAACACATTACTTGCACATATGGCTTTTTCTTCACATCTTATTTTGCATCATCCCCACTTCTTTTTTTTTGGGTGTGTTTTCTCCACTAGAGTTTATCTTCAAATCATCAATAACCCCCCCCCTTTTTTGTTTTGTTTTTACACATTTAAGCCCCAAAACAATATGATTATTATTCCAATCATGAGCAGGACTCATGGCAAGCAGCTCACTGTCCCTAAAACCTGCCATTGTAGACCGGCTGCAGGGCCACCAGGGCTGTGATGTTAGTGATGTCAGTTAGTGAACATAAGAGGGCCTATTTCCTGTGGCGATGAACAAGACAGCCCCCCCTTTTTTGGCTGTCACTTTTCCCTCTCCTCCCTCCCTCTTTCTTCTTCTTCTTCTTGTTTTTTTTTTTTTTTACCCCACTCCTCCTTCCTCTCTTTTCCCCCACCAACTCCTCCTCGTCCCTCCTTCTCCTCAGTCTCCCCTCCCTCCCCTTCCTCTCCACTAAAGATCTGTTTCTCATTATCCTCTGTAGTCTGCTCTCTGTCTGAGTCAGGAGACGAAAAACTTAAATAAACACACTCTCTCTGGCTCTCTCCGCTTCGGTCCAGCTCCCTATCTCCCCCCCTCCCCAACCCCCTCTTTCTCTCCCTGTCTCTCCCCTCTGTCCTCCTTCCTCGCCCTCCTCCCGATTCTCACAATCATTAAGCGTATGTTATACTGGCGTGTAACTGGGGGCTTGTTTCACTCTCCCTGTCATCCTCTTGGGGTTGTGTGGGCAGGCCTTGGATCCTGGACTGATCTCAAGATGTTGCAGTCTGGTCAGAGAGAGAAAAAAGTGCTACAAGCAGGGCTGACGCAAGAATTTTTGGGGCCCATACCCCTATTAAATCCTCATATGACATTATTAGGCACTCTGAATGAATCCAGTCAGAGGTGGGAAGTAATGAAGTATAAATACTTAATTATTGTACTTACTGTAAGTAGATTTCTTCAGGTATCTCAGTATTTATTTTTCTTTACTTATTCCCCCTACATTTTTACACAACTGTCTTTACTTTCTACTCCTTACATTTTAAAAACAGGCTTGTTGCTTTAGTTTTAATGCATTTGATGGGAATTATGGATTATTATTATAATTTTTTGCATCATTGCACACCAAGGCAACATCAAAACCAGTGCATATTGTGCATGACAGATGAAACACAACATAAAAGATGCAATGACGTAACAAGACAAAAGAGACAAGAGAGAGAGACACTTGACCCTGTTGAGATTTCAGTCCGCTTTGCACAGAAACAGCCGGTAAATAATGTCCTTCAGAGAAACCGAGAGAGTACTTTTTATTTTTAGACTGTAAGTACATTTCAGAGCCTCTTTTCTTTACAGACGTATCCGTACTTCTACTTGAGTAAAGAATGTCTGTACATTTTCCACCAATGGCAAACAGTCACAGTCTATATGTTCACAATAAGACAGGGTGCAGAAGAACTACTGAGAGGATGAAATACGGTGCAGAATGTCTTATCAGACAGCAAAACACTGGACTGCACTACGAGAATAAATATGCACTTTAACCTTTTAGTACCATTTGTGTCTTTTTCTTTTTCTTTTTCTTTTAGGCTTTTTCTCTAAGACTTTTATTGCCTTTAATATAGAGGAGCAGCTGAAGAGTGACAGGAAAGGGGGAGAGAGGGGATGACATGCAGCAAAGGGCCACAGGTTGGAGTCGAGCCCAGGCTGCTGCGGTAGGGACTTTGTACATGAGGTGTGTGTGTGTGCTCTACCAGGTGAGCTACCAAGGCTCTAGTTAGCCTTTTAGCACATCCTCACATGTGACTGCACAAATGGGAAATAGGAAAATAAATAAAAAATCAATCTTGAGACGAGCAATCACAACTCTTTTGTTCGTGGATCCAACAGTCGTGAACAAAACCACAGCTCTACTGTTACAAAGTAATCTGACGTCAGTGTGTGTTTACATGTATTTCACTGGCCAACTCCGTGCTTCGTTGGATTACATCACATTGTGTTGTGTCAAATGTTGAGCCAGGTTCAAGTTTTTTTGTTTTGTTCTTAGCTGGAAGGCCTCTGCTTTTGGAAGTGGTGGAAAGTCACAGTCAATACATTTAATAAGTACAATTTTAAAGTACTTTACTTGAGTATTTATGCTACTTTATACTTCTACTCTAACACAATTCCGAGGCAAATAATATACTATTTACTCCACTTTTTACAACTACATTTATTTAATCATTTTGGGTTAGCCTTTGTTTCCAGATCCAAAATACAATCAACAAATATAAATGATGATGTATGTATATCAATAAGACTTTATTCGACCCCAGGGAGAGATTCACAAGCTACAAAGCAGTATAGTAAGTAAAATATGTAAAATATTTATAAATAAATGAAAATTAACCCCACATTTCAGCAATATTACAGTGATGTACACATTAATGCATCAATAATTATCATCCAATGATATAATTATTCTGAAATGGGACTATATTTTTGTACTTTTACTTAAATTAAAAAGTCGACAAAGTCTAAAAGCGCGACAATTACTTTACTTATTTTTCATTCTCACATTTGAAAACACTGGTTAGGTATGAAAAACACTTGTATCGTGTTAACATTTTAAAGATATTTTCTTAACGCTACACACACAGAATATGTATAAACTAATACAAATTTTAAATAGATAGAACAGTATAAAATAAAACAGAACAATGTTCATAAAAGAATCATTAAAGGAAGAAATGAAAAAGAAAGACTGAATTATATTTACAAGGAAGATATATACGATAACATATATACATACACACAAAATATGTACATTTGCATTATCAGTGTAATATAGGTTATTTTCAGATTTAGCTGCTTTGACTTTGAGAGAAAGTAACCTTGTTTGCCAAAGTGGCAAAAAAAGGACAAAAAAGATGTACTTTCTTTCGTGGTACTGTATGTAGGCCTATGTAGATTTTCAGTAGTTTACAAACAGAGACTCTGCAGAAATGGAAAATTGTGGTGGGGTTGTGAAACTGTAGAGTTGAATGGCTAATAAATTGTTGCAATGTGAGGGATGAGTGCAACACACAGGAGGAACTGCTGAGTGTCAAGTTTATGAGGAGGAGAAGAAGTAGAAGAATTGAATCCTATGGACGTGTTGCCATCATGTGGCCAAAAGCAGAACAGTTTTACTGTAACTTTCCTCAACTGTCAGTTCTGTTTAAGTGAAACCGAATCAGGTTCACATAAAGGAAATTTTCCAGTATCAGTATTTTGGTGCAACCAAACAACAGACATGGGGAAAATAATACCACAAAAGCCATAAATCATAAATATAAAATAGAAATATTTGCAATTGAAAAAAGTTTCTAAAATGAAAATAGCTATACAGTGCCAAAATGAAGAGAATGGGATGTGCAAAACATATAGACTTGTAGTGTCCATGAAGGAGTGGGATAAGAGTCACTGTCAGTGGGGGTCTCAGACCTTGTTGATGAGGGCAGCAACAAACATAAAGAAACTGTTGCTGTGGTCTGAGGTTTTGATGGACAGCAGCCTCTGCAGATGGATCGACCATGACTCCCTGATCTTTCCTCTTGTCCTTGGCAACCAGACAATGAGGATTGACTCAGTGATGGTGCACCGCCATCAGCGAGACTTTAAGAGCATTGAGCTCCAACTTCTTTTGTCCTGCCACCAGGTCACCAGGTGGTCAATCTCCCACCTGTAGGCAGACCAATCCCCACCAGAGAGGAGCCCGATGAGGGTGACGTCATCTGCAAACACAAAGAGGACACAACCTTGACGGCACATTTGAGACATGTTTCCCCAGTTTATCGTGCTGCCTCCTGTCAATTACTCTTTACACCTTTACTGTAACTTTCCTCAACAGTCAGTTCTGCTTTCAGAGCCTGAGGACACAAATTAAGTTTCGCTGAAAAATGTTTCGCAACTTGATTCCTGATACATGAGGTTCTGTGTCAGTTTGATTGAACTGTTTCCTTAAATTATTGACTCCACGGCTTTAACTGAAGAACAATTTGTAATGATATTATGAGCCTTGTTATTAAATATTAATGTCTCTACATATAATTACAATATATTCAGATACTGTGTATTCAGACAAGCTGGTACAAGAAAGTATATATTTTTTAAAGTTTTGTAGTTTAGATTATAAATGTACCACCACTGTACCACCACTCTACCACCACTGTACCACCACTGTATTACCATCTCTCCTATAACACTGTTGGACGCACGATGGCACAATTTAAAATAGTATTAAAATCGATGCAGCAGAGATACCGTCTTTTTTATTCCATGCAGATCTTCCTTGTCAAAACCTGTTGCCTGCATTACCCACCGTACAACCTGAACGCCAACAGCTCAGGTGCGGTTTTGGGTGTGTTATGGGTTGGTGTTACATAGCAACTGATGTAGCCTTGAGCAGAGACAAGAAACAGGCTACGAAACTCACTTCTTTTTAACTTCACACCTTCAGATGAGTGACATCATTTGAGGCAATTTTATATAGTACTCCCCAACACCTGTAAACAGACTTTGAGTCCCCTTTAATCAATTTTTAACTTTTGAGTCAGAATTTTAAAGTGATAAAGTATTTGGTGTTCAGACCATTACAAATAGACTTCAGAGCCCCTATTTGATGCATTTCAGCTGCTCAGTGGAGCAGGTAACTATCAGATAAAGTTATCTGTTCTTAACAGGTCTTGGGTTAAAACAAACCAGCTCATTCACTCGGTCCTTGAGTTTCATCTTTGGGCTTCTCTTCATTTTTCTACTTCTACCAGCATTCCTGTCAGTGTCAGAGACTTGTATGAACTAGTGACTTTGTGTTTTTATGTGCGTGCGTGTGCTATTAGTATGCATGTTTACACTTGTGTGCTCAGCATCCACGACACAGAGAGCTTGTGCAAGAATTTGAATCACCTATACTCCTCTGTTCCTTCTGATTACGCAACAGTTGACTCACAGAGCAAGAAAAAGTGCCTTAGGACACAAAAATGAGCATTTTGATATGAGACAATGGGACATGTTGTCATGAAAGAATGCAATGTTTGTTTATAAAAAATGCCCTTTTGCATTCGGTGTCATAGCACAAATACTTTAGATGCTTTTAACAGGATATTCATATATGGAGGTGAATATACATTACTGAAGATTGAGGGAGAGTTTTTAAGGAAGGACACACCTCTCTGCCTCCCTTTCTCTTACAACGGCATGTTTCAGCCTGTGGGGACAGGATGTGATTACGTTTATTATGGACTGAGCTAACAGACAACGGCGCACTACAGTGTCCCACAGAGTAAGAGCCGGACAGAGAGGAGAGCAGTAGAGGGATAATTGAATCTGACAGTCATTACAGAGAGACATCACATCCTGGAAAGGTCAGTCAGCCGCTCTCAGCACCTTGATTTCTTTGACTTATTACTGACATGTTTCCTTCAGCCTCTCTGTCAGATTTGTACTAACATTTGCCTCTTTTCTATTCTTTCTTCCATTTTGAAATAATAATTTACTTTTCTTGACTTGATTATTTACACGTAGCAGATTTATTACAAACCTATGACTCATTATTTCAAAACTTTGGGCTGTAAGCGAATCCATTGCCATGACTTTATTGGCAAACAGAGTCTCTGGCTAGTGAGTTGCAGTGGTGTGGTGATTTTTTCATTTGTTGGTTTCTCTTGTAAATACCTTTAGAGTCCTTTCTTATATTTGTCATTTATATATAAATTACATCAGATTTTGTTCTCCTTATTGCAGTTAATCTATTACAGCAGTAGATTTATGTCATATATGCATTGCAGCATTATGTCATAATTAGCCGATATCCGTGTTTTTATTTTCATTTGTCAGTCGGAGGTGGAGCTGCTTTATGATACCTGGTTTTATTAAAAACTTTAAACTGTTTTCTGTAAAAAAAAACCTGTTATTTCTTAGAAACAATGGCTTCGTCTGACAGCATCAATGTGTTGCTTAGACTTTGCTTTGTGTGGAATTTCTTTTACTAGTCTCGCTTTGATTCGCTTTGTTTACTCTTGTATAAAGCCATCAGGGGAAAATAAACAGTTTGCTTTAGTAGGACCAGAGCAAGGAAATTAGGATTTAATCAGGAAATAAGGGCTTGATGTCTTGTTCTCAAGGGAAATATAGTTTTGCGGAGATCATATAATTTATCAACCAATTAAATCCTATCTACGTCACTCATGTTTAAATTTAACTATCCAACTTATACAAGTCACGGATAGAACATCTTGAACTATGTTATTCCTTAAAAGTCAACCCTATGTGACCTCTGCACTGTATGGTTTCCATGAGCCAAAGAGTCCAAAGAAGGGAGACAAACGAGGACAAGACTGTGTTGAAATACTGCTCTACTTTGACGCAGGACTGCTAATGTTTGGCGTGTTTTAGCATGCTGCCTTTTTAAGCAACAGTGTTGGCTTCAGAATCTCAGAGAAATATTTTAGATGCTGCGTCAGGGTGGCAGCCATCCTCTAGTTCTAGGAACAGCATGTGTACCAGCTTGTGAACAATATTTTGTAATGTTTATCTTTGCTTCCTGGTGCACTGTTCTCTCCAGACCATCACCAACTTCCTGTCTGACAAGAAGGTTGTCTCAGAAATCCATACATTAAGCCCCCAACTAGTCTATAATCTGACTGAAAGGTCCAAATTACCAGTACAGTATTTAGTCACTGTCAGTTTTTTTCCCCTTTATCTCTTTTCATCATTTACAGTTAGAAATCATTTTCAAAAGAGGAAATTCTTTTCGCCAACAGTTCCTGTTAACTTTAAAAAAAGAGTGATGCAATGGCAGTCCACATCACGCAGACTTCTAGACATATCAGAGAACCCTTTTTTTTTTTTTTAATCAGTCCAAAAAAGTTGTTGAATGAGATTGTTGAGTTTGGCTATTAGCATAAAAGATCCTGAGCAAATATTTCACGACATCACGTTTCAGCGTCTCAAACCGGCCTTTTTGAAGCCATCAGGAGAGAAAAGTTCATAAAAACATCTGCTGACTAACTTTTAATAATAAGTGTGCAACATACTTCAGCATAGATCTGATCAGTGTTAAAAGCAGGTGTGCATCCGCCTCCACGGACAAAAAATCAGTTCATGTGTCCCAAAGATAATTGGCTCTGATGAACAGACTGTTAAGAGAGTTATGTAAATCTTATTGCATGAAGTGCAGGAAGTATACAAGAACATTTCTTCTACTTTGTTTGTGGGTTTTTTAAATATATTTTTTTGGTTCAAACTTTTTTCTCTCATCCTCAGGATCAAAACTCCTTCCAGCATGAACAACCAAACTCTTTCCTACTCTAATCTCGAAGAAGAAAGCGTTGTGAGCAATGACTACTCCACAACCATAGGTGCCCTCATCCTGGGCTTGGTCTTCCTCCTGGGAGTCCCTGGCAACCTCTTCATCGTCTGGAGCATCCTGGCACGCATCAGACGACGCTCGGTCACCACCCTCCTCATCCTCAACCTGGCATGTGCCGATGGCTTCCTCATGACCCTCACCATCTTCTTTGTCATCTACCTGGCCATGCAGACGTGGGTCTTTGGCGAGGTCATGTGCAAAGGCGTGTTCTACCTGTGCAACGCCAACATGTACGCCTCCATCTTTCTGATCACGCTGATGAGCGTGCACAGGCTGGTGGCCGTGGTGTTCCCGAGGAGAGTCTCCTTCCTGACCAGCAAGAAGATTGTGAAGAGGATCATTATAGGAATGTGGGTGCTGGTGATGGTGATTTCTATCCCCTCACTCGTGTTTCGAGATGTGAGAGAGGACATAGATGACACCAATGAAATAAGATTGGTGTGTGCGCCTAATCACACCATGCCTCGATATGTAAGTAGAGTCGCAATCACTTTCATTACCTGTCATTGACCTTTCTTGACTAATTGATTTGCTCAAAAGCCCATTGCAATTTCCTTGTTTTGTCCAACCAAAAGTATGAAAGACAACTGAACCTCTGAAGCCCCTTTAAGTCAGTTCTTAATTGAACTCATCTGAACTCCTACACTAACATCTGCTGATCACGATCATTAGATATGATCAAAAACTTCAGATCTTGTCATTTTTCTTGCTTCTGACTATGAATTTAAGTCCAATATTAAATATTTTTTAGTTCAGTTTTTTCGTTTTCCACCCATTCCTGAGGGAAATATATTAAATGCTCCACTATGCTCACCAGTTAGTCTCTGACTGTGTCTGTGTGTCGTTTGGTGCTTAACAGGTAGTGTACAGTGGGGTTTTAGAGCTTTTCTACTGCAAACATCTGTCTGCTGTGGCCAAAAACAATGTACAAACGTAACAAAATAATTGTCTGTAAGTGTCTGTAAATCTGTTTTGTATCCTCCTGTGCACAGGTGAGGTTTCAGTATGCCTTTGAGACCGTGGCAGGATTCATTCTTCCTTACACAGTCATCATAGTCAGCTACGTGCTCATCCTGCAACGCTTGAGGCAGACCAAGTTCCGCAGAAAGGTCCGCAGTGAGAAACTCATCCTGGCCATTGTGGTGATGTTTGGCCTTTTCTGGCTGCCATACCATGTTATCAACATGATACAGGTGTGTGAAGACATTCAAATACTAATTTCAATGCAATTGGATCAATGATCTGATCTTTTAAATGAACACTTGTGTTTTGATCTATCCAAGGTGGCAGCTGAGTGGTACAATGAGGGAACACCCATGAAAGACAAGTGAGTAACAAAAAATCTTCACAGTCTTTCACCCACCTTCTCAAAACTAAATGTAACTTATTTTTAATGACATATGGTACATGCACATCAGAAATATTTTAAAAAGTGAAGTGAACTATTAAAGAGTCCATTATGCAACATTTAGGAGAGTCTGTTGCCAGAAATAGAATATAATATGCATTCATGGGAATCATTATGTTTTTGTTACTGTAGAATGAGGCAACCATGTTCAACTGCCAGGTTTTCTACACTAGCCCAGAATGGTCAAATTAAACACTGGCTCTAGTCCGTTTGTGTCTCTTTGTAGCTGTTTTGTATCCATATATATAGTCCAGTTGAGTCTCCTTGAAGTCCTATTGTGTCTCCTTGTAGTCCTATTTTGTCTCTTTATAGTCCTATTGTGTCTCTATGTAGTCCTGTTGTGTCTTTATGTAGTCATTCTGTATCTCTTTGTAGTCCTATTTTGTCTCTTTGTAGCCCTATTGTGTCTCTATGTAGTCCTGTTGTGTCTTTATGTAGTCATTCTGTGTCTTTGTAGTCATTATGTTTCTTTGTATTCATTCTGTCTCTTTGTAGTTATTCTGTCTCTTTGTAGTCATATTGTGTCTCTTCGTAGTCATTCTGTGTCTCTTTGTAGCCCTACTGTGTCTGTGTGGTTGCTTTGTGTCTCTTCGCAATTCCCTAAATGTGTTTTTAAGACATATAAGCACACGTTTTAGTTGTTGTCTAAAACTTCCTGTTTATCTGCAGGTTGGACCATATCGTTGCGACCAGTCGAGCGGTGACCTCGGCTTTGGCCTTCATCAGCAGCTGCGCCAATCCTGTCCTCTACACCTTCGCTGGGAAGTCCTACATCAAGCAGAACGGCTTTGCCTTCATGGCTCGTCTCTTCGAGGGCACGTCTTTGGACCAGACAGGAACAAAAAAGAGTCGGGCCATGGGTACTATGGGAACCAGTAGTGTTGACTCCACAAACAGCCCAGCTGTTACAACTTTACAAAATGGGAAATGAATGTGGAATTAACTTTGCGTGCATAAATGAGAGCACTGGAAATTTTTAAACCTACATGTGGAGTGTGTATATTTTGTTTAAAGCAACGTTTGAGCCTGAATCTGCTGTGCTTAAAAATTACAGACAGAATCACAGCACTGGCTTGGAGCTGAGTATTTTGATTTGTAGATAAGCTTAACTGGGTTAGCTCGTCTGAGGTGCAGGCAGATTTTTACTGTTACATTTTGACAGTGACAGATAATACCCCTTGTATAAATACTATAAAATACTAAATAATTACATAACATAAAGCCCTGAACCTACTTGAAGAGCAGTTACATTGTGAGAAAAACACAAACATAAAAACTGTTTACATTCTAAATATATTTATATTATGGAATCATTTTGTTGGGCAAAGAAACCCTATTATAATCACAGCCTTCAGTATGGTAATGTTATTTATATTCTATGTTCTCTCTAGAATAAACCACTATAAACGTGTAAATAAAAAAAACAAAAACGGACCAGAATATTAAAAAATACCTTTTTTAAAATCATACTTGCCAGCACTATTTAAATGCTTTATTAAATGTTTATATACTGTGTATACATGCCAAATAGGCAGCTTTAAAGTGTTGCCCATTATACAGATAAATGACATTTCTAAATAGCAGACTAAAGAGACAACTGAACCACTTATTTTTGTGAATTAATATTTATCCAACACAGTCTGAACAGAACCAACCATCACACTAAACATGTTAAAGCTTTGGATTAAACTGTATACAGGTCCAGTTTTCTACTTGAGATACTGACTTTTTATGCATTTTACAGTTTGTCAATTAGATGGTAAGTTTTTTTTTTTTAATATTGTGGGATTTCTCAACGCGATGAGTTAACATTGAGTTCGTTGTTGCTCAACATGGATGTCGCTTCAGTCTTGAGCCATTTGACAAGTGTTATGCACTGATGTTTTGTGTTGAAAGCACTGTAATTTAAGTAGAAATGTTCCGATACCATTTTATTCCTCCACTTCTTACTGAACTTTAAGTATCAGCTAAAACAAGTATGCCACTGAGCCTGTGCGGCAGTAGCTCAGTTTGTTAGGACTTGGCTTGGGAACCAGTTCAAGTCCAGTACAGACCACAGTACGGCAGCTGGAGAGGTGCCAGTTCCACCTCCTGTACACTGCAGAGGTGCTCTTGAGCAAGGCATCAAACCCTTAACTGCTTACAGAGCACCCTTATGTGGCAGCTTATCACTCAACATTTGCATGATTGTATTTTCGGCCTGTGTGTAAAGGCTGGAATTTATTTTACCCATTGGGGATTAATAAAGTATATTTTCTGTATGATTGATACTGTGGTACAGCCTAGCTCAGGAGGAGAGCAGTGACTTTGCAATGGAAAATAAACTTCACATATTGGACGGGTGCACCTAATATAATGTGGTATTGTTGCAATACTTTTGGAACAATGTTTATGTTAAATACACCCCTATTTTTGTGATGCAATGTCATTGTTCAATAAAGTAAAAATTTACTTGTGATTTTTATTTTACACAAAAGCCTTTAGTACAACAACCACATTTAAAATATATATAACCCCAAAATTAAGTATTTTTTGGCCTTTATTTGATAGAGATGGCTGGGTAGAAGTAGGAAGCGGCAGAGAGACAGGGGAGGACATGCAGCAAAGGGCCACAGGTTGGACTCGAACACAGGCCCCTATGTATATGGGTCGCCAGCTCTACTGACTGAGCTAACGGGGGCCCATAACCCCAAAATGATTTTAAGACCTTCAAGTGCAGATTGCACCTGCCTATATCTCTATATCCGTTTTACCTTTTAACATTGATTGTACATCAGGCAGCCATTTTCTCATTATAGTCTCAACTACTGATAAACCTGATGCATATTCAGTACCACCCCCACCCCTTACAACTCATATGATCTGCAATTAAACACATCGTTTTAATATACAACACTTTATTTACCAGTAAATTTAACAGTTCATACAAGCCATGTAACAATATTGAAGGATTTACAGTTTATGTATATACATTAAAGACAGTTAACATTTTTCAAAAGCAAAGTGTTTCAAATTACTCTACAAATTAACAGTATAAACATTAGTCCTTTTAAACTTCAAAAATCCAAACTGGGGCAATCCAGCAGTTCATGCAGTGTCCAAATTACCTGTAAGAGCAAAAAGAGATTTAATATCAAACCGGTTGCAAGTGTTTAGAGATGCTGATTCAATACAGTTCAGCACTAAATATCACAAAACCTCTTGCTATTCAACCCACAATCTACAGACGCCAATCAGGGTAATAAAACAGTTCAACCACCAAGAATACAGATACTGACCTTATTGAGATGTCTCCAGCTCAGGCTCTTCAAATCCTAAAATATAAATACATGACAGGTTAGTTTCATCCTGTAATACAAGAAACATCCTCACTTTGTATCCGTCTGGTCAAACCCATCAGTGCAGTAAGAGAATAATCATGAGGTTCAGGTGAAACACGGACTGCAGATCATCATTGAGGTTTGACTGTATGACGCAGAACTAAACCAAGTAAATATGCAGCTTAAAAAAACAAAAAAACAAATCCCTGCAGCAGGTGTAAGTGTAAGTCAGTTGCCAGTTTATTGGAAAGCAGCAAAAAACCGGAGTATCCTATCTCTATGGAGGTTATAATGTTCAGTTTTATGTGCGTTGATCATTTAAAAAGGATGTAGTTTGTGGTGCTGTTGAACTATATTGCATTATACAGAGGGGTGTTTTTATGTTTACTCCTTTCTCATTAATACAGGTGGACAATATAGAAGCACCTGTTAGTATAAGAACTCCAAAACCATCATAAAACTTATAAAACAAAAAGTTAACATTAAAACCTTCGTAACAATTAGGATTTATTGCAGAATGGCTGTATTAACTAATAAACTGGCATTAGAGTGAATGCTGATCATCCTAAAACTTGCATTATGATTGAGGCCTTAAATTACCTAAATAAACTCCTTCAATAAGTTTATTTCTGCTGCACTACTCATGCACACATACACAGAATTACATAAAAGTAATTAAAAACCGGCTCTAAAAGTTAATCATGCTGCTGATTAACTCCTTTTTAATCTACAGAGACACCATTCATGTGGAAGCAGCCTTGTAATGAGCGGTGTAATCTGCGGATTGAGGCCCAGCTCGACTCTCTGGCACAGACCATGAGGTCGGTTTGGCTCCTCTGAAGCGAACAGCGACAATCTGTGCGGTGAAACAACCGCAACAAGCAGCTACACGCGGGTTCATGAACGCATCAGCTGCGACACAAACAACGTAATGGGACAAACAATGAGCGTAAATACCGTAAATGTTTGTTTGTCTGCCTGCAGCAACATGTCCGACCACCAGCACCGCACCGAGGAAGAGAGGATGTTAATGAGGCTCACGCTCAATTTATGTCCTCATCAAAAACCACGTGTTTACTGTCCTGCGTCACAGAGCCGCCAGCTTCCGGGTCTGACGTAGTAGGCTATGAAACTAATAATAATTATTAATTATT